CATTAGTGTATCTGATGACAAGGCAACAAGTAAAACAGATATAGACACCCAACATGAGGAATCTGCTTCAAGCATTAAAACATCTGATGACAAATCAAGGAGTGAAACACGTATAGATACCCAACATGAGGAATATACTTCAAGCATCGAAGTATCTGATGACAAATCAACAAGTGAAACATCTATAAATGTCAAACATAAGGGATCTGCTTCAAACATTAACGTATCTTCTAATGACAAATCAATAAGTGAAACACATACAGATATCCAACATGAACCTGCCTCAAGCATTAGTGTATCTGATGACAAATCAACAAGTGAAACACCTATAAATATCAATCATAAGGGATCTGCTTCAAGCATTAACGTATCTTCTAATGACAAATCAATAAGTGAATTGCATACAGAGACCAAACATGAATCTGTCTCAAACATTAGTGTATCTGATGACAAGGCAACAAGTAAAACAGATATAGACACCCAACATGAGAAATCAGCTTCAAGCATTAAAACATCTGATGACAAATCAAGGAGTGAAACACGTATAGATACCCAACATGAGGAATATACTTCAAGCATCGAAGTATCTGATGACAAATCAACAAGTGAAACATCTATAAATGTCAAACATAAGGGATCTGCTTCAAACATTAACGTATCTTCTAATGACAAATCAATAAGTGAAACACATACAGATATCCAACATGAACCTGCCTCAAGCATTAGTGTATCTGATGACAAATCAACAAGTGAAACACCTATAAATATCAATCATAAGGGATCTGCTTCAAGCATTAACGTATCTTCTAATGACAAATCAATAAGTGAATTGCATACAGAGACCAAACATGAATCTGTCTCAAACATTAGTGTATCTGATGACAAGGCAACAAGTAAAACAGATATAGACACCCAACATGAGGAATCTGCTTCAAGCATTAAAACATCTGATGACAAATCAAGGAGTGAAACACATATAGATACCCAACATGAGGAATATACTTCAAGCATCGAAGTATCTGATGATAAATCAACAAATGAAATACATATAGATATTCAACATGAGGAACCTGCATCCGGTACTAAAGAATTTAATGTCAAATTTCCTCAAACAAGTGAAACACATCTAGATATTCAATATGATGAAATTTCAAGCATAAAGTTATCTGATAAAGAAACAACTTGCTCAAATAAAGAACAAAAATATATACAATGTGAAGAACTTGTATCAAATACTAAACTATCAAGTGATAAATCAAGTGATAAATCAAGTGATAAATCAAGTGATAAATTAAGTTATAAGTCAAGTGATAAATCAAGCGATAAGTCAAATGATAAATCAAGTGATAAATCAACTGAAAAAAGAAAAGCACAAGTGAATGGTAAAATTGAGGAACATACTGTTAAGATAATTCGTGATATATCCTTTTTTAAAAAAAGCCAATCTTTGTATCCTATTTTAACTGGATTTAATTTATAAGTTCGTTTATAACGTTTCTACATATTATTTATTCATACTAGAAGTAGTTATACAGATTAATTAATAATTAATAAGTTTGCCTTTCCCCTTCTTTTTCTTACTATATTTAGTATTTAATAAAAAATTCTCATTGAATTTATATATTAATATGTAGCAGGTAATTGTTTAACTTATTACTAAAAGATAGTCTGTTATCGCTGAATTGATATCTCGATGGATTATTCTGTAAGTCGAATTAATACATAATTAAAGCTAAAAGAAAATATGAATACCTTGACAAATGTTGAATAAATTGTAATTATAATTACTACTTATACATAATTCTTTACAATAAGATTCATTTTCACGAATGCTTTAAATAAATATTATGCAAACTTATTTCGCTTTAAATTATTATTAGTCTTTTTCATATATTCTAATTGTCTGAAAAAGCCTTAGGAAAGTATTGAAGCACTCACTTTTTGAAGGTTAGCAATATACAAAAATATTTGCTAAGAATTATCGACCGATCTTGGAATAGAGTGGATATGCAACCGGACATTAGACTCGATGAACGGCAATGCGGTCTTCACACACTACTTGTATATGCGCGCATTCTCACACCACGTATTTTAGTTCGGTCGTGTCCGGATCTGCGAGTAGATGGCGCTAAGAACCGTTCCCTCTTTACCAAGGGGAGAAAGAGTTTGTATCTCTAGCCCAAACTTCGCGATAACGTGTCAAAACTGCGTTTGCCGCTACGAATAAGCGCTCTTTGTGCACGTATATTGTTATCTGAGGGCCGACTGTGCAGAACGTCGCGACTTCTTTTCCAGTAAGTGAAAATCGCAACCGCCACAAGGATACGGACATTCTTGGCGTCGGTTGTGCCACAATGGAACTGGTATCTGCGAAACTCTGTTCTTTTTCCGCTGGATTACAGATGAAAGAATCGTGAGAAATCGCTATTGCGCGAGATCGCAGTTACACTCGGGGTGCCTTGTAACCCAATTGCGAACGACTGACACCCGTAATGAAGTAATCAACGTATCCTTGTCGAAATGCTTAACCTAACAAGGAAGTTCATCGGTACATTGGTAATAATCATTGCTCATGTATCGATTGTGTATATAAGAATAGCTGCCTTTGCGAGAACGGAGAATTGTGTTTCAGTGCATTCCGTCAAATGGCAAACATGAGCAGCAGTGGCAGCGTCACCAATGCCAGTCCAGGATGCGGCAATATTGAAAAAATATAGTAACTAGATCAAATGTAAAGATTACGGCCGACCCATTTACTATATCTCACTCAATAATATGGGTAAGTGATTATTATTTAATACTAATACAGCATAACTTTCAACTTTCACAATTGATTGTACCACTGATACTAAGTGTATCTTGATCTTCAGTGATGGCAGGAAACGAAGGTACGCCAGCAACCTTGGCAGATGACGCATTATCCGCAAGACTCCAGTGGCTACGTCAGCGTAGAGAGGCCTTGCAAGAGAAGCTCACTCAGAAGAATAATGAGTTGAAGAACTTGTGCGTGGAAGAGGCGGAGATAACGGGAGTTTTGCCTCCGGAAATACCTTTAGAGCCTGGGGAGAGTCCACCGACTTTCCGCAGAAGAGTGGGCTCTGCACTTATGTATCCGACGAAATTAATCAACAAACTGAAGACAATCGATACCGTGAGTCGAAGCGAAATTGACGTAATGTTTACATAATGTTTCAACAGGTCTTTAAAGGTACGTTGAATTTGATACCGTTCTTTGTACACATAGGAGGAGTCGGAATTGGAGTTAGAACGACAGGTGCAGCTTGGAATAGTGGAGGCTGCGCTGGAGGTCGTCAATGATCCCACAGAGAGCAAGGCCACACGACGCAAGCACAGACTCGCCTATCAGCAGGGCCAGCGAAGGTTGCAGGAACTGGAGACCGAATTGAACTTCATCCGGCAGAGTCGCGGTAAGGTACACCGGCAGACGACGCAGCTGCCAGTCACCGGGATGCAAGGGGGTTACAACACGCATTCGCACGTTAACGTGAAGCACCGAACGAAGAAGCCACGACCACCGTTGGACGGTACAGGTATATCGGATAAGGCGAAAAACATCACAAAGCTCTTAAACAATTTTGAAACGAACAGGACCTCAATGAGACGCTTTTGTGATTACGTGTGCGGCAGGGAACGAGGTCAACGCTGCCAAGTCCGTCGGGAGAGGTATACTTCACGAAACCGGCATTAGCCTCAGTCCCCTGGGGCCCGAGGACAAGTGTATCACAGGATATCCCGGACACGGGTACGAGGAGCAGCTGGCCGTGCCGAACCTCTGTAACGTCCACCACCACACTTATCCCGGCGTCAGTCCGGTCGAATCGGCCAATATCAAGATCGTAGAGCATGATCACAACGACAACCAGAACATCTACATCCTGCCTGACCAATACCGCGCCCGTACGTACTCCCACGGCAGTGGGGGTTCTCGCGGCCACCGGGACCACTGTCAGGACTTCGATCGAACGTACCGTCCTTATGTGCCGAACACTTACACCGACGATGAGCGCCAGATGCGCTATCGGCAGTTTCAGCAGCAACAGCAATACCTGCAGAAGCAGCAGCTGCACGAGCACATGGCACCGCCGCCGAACTACAGGCTGCAGTACGGCTCGGTCGAGTACAAGCACTTGGACAATGCGGACATCGTGCGGAGGAGCAGCCAGATATCCTACGACAGGGATTTTCGAGCCTCTCATTACGCCCCCGTCACCGACTATCAGATCTATTACAAGAACAGTACGCAGCCTGTGCAGAGGCGTCCCGCGGACCGCGACTCGTCGTCGTCGTCGTCCAGCGGCAAGAACACCTTGCGGCACACAGGCGCGCCGATGATCGACGGCCAGTTGCCGGCCGGCTATTGGATACGTCAGGACGACGACATCGTCTGGGTGAGCATGGACGAGCCAGCCATGCCCACCGACCGATTTGGCAGTCTGGATCGCAGACGGCGGAACGCCCAGCACAACGTCGGCGTTAACCCGGACGCGCAGTCGCGTTATCGCACCGTCGCGCTCGCCGGCACCAAGTCTGCCGTCGCTGCGCCCAGTACCTCCGTGTCGTCGTCGTCCCACCAGCACCACTCCGTCCACTTGTTACCGCTGTCCGAGCAGCAAATGCCGCCGGTGAACAACAAGATGCTGCTGCGCACGCAGTCGTTGGGTAGCGTGGAGACGTGGCAGTCGAGTCACAGCCACGACTCGCACGACGGCAAGGACATCACGACGACGACGGAGTACACTAATCGCAAGAGCCGCCAGAAGGAGTGGTACGAGACGTCCTTGGATTCGGGAGTGAGCGTGGGTCTCGACCAGAACCTGATCGCCGTGCGCAAGAACGCGCATTACCAGTCGAGCCCGCCACCGGCTCGCATCAAGACTGTCGGCAACGAAGGCGCGAAGGACGATCAGATGATGGTCGCCGGGCCGTCGATGAGTCCGGTGAATCGTCAGAAGAGGGACAAACTCGAGGAGCGGCAGCACATGTTGCAGCAGCCTCACACGCGTTATGAACAGCCCGCGACGAGGCCGAAAGTGCTGGAGATACCTGCCGAGTCGAAGCCATCCCACGACGTCTGCGACGACACGACGGTGCGACCGCCGTTGGGCTCGCCGCAGAACTGCACGGTGGTCCAGGCGGGCAAGTACCAACCGTACCGCGAGGTGACCAAGCCCTTCGAGATGTCCGACTTCTACAAGTATTCTACCAAGTTCCGGAAGAGAAACGAGGCCGTCGGAAGCCAGCAGTTAGGGAACGACTCGCCGCTCCAGGAGAACCGGCCCGTCGGGGAGTGCGCACCGGGAACTGGCGATTTGTCCAAGGATTCAAACGCCTACAGTTACGGGCAGAACGGCGGCGCCAGCGTAACCGCCAGTCCAGTGCAGAGGAGGATTTATCAGCCGGTGCAGCGGATGACCTGCCAGCCGTATCTCGCGTCCTTGAGATAATCGCTCGAGATAAACGCACACGTCGTAGTGCTCGTTCGCGATATCGCTCGTTATTGTTCGCATCGTACTGCCAACATGGGTGGTATGCGAATATAGAAACTCGATGCAGATAGGCTGGACCTATCGTAGTGACGTTTTCTTTGTTTTTTTGTAGCTTAGCCTTTTCAGGGATGAATTTATCGACTTCGGAGGGAAACCGATTTAATTGATTTAATTTCGAAGTGACACGAATATGACATCTGTCAATCGCATGACGGGGGGGGTCTCGCCCCCCCCCTCCCTCCCTCCCACCCTTCTCGCTGTGGAATTCTACGACGAATATTTATTCACGGTATTGTTCGTTGTATATTGTCGACGATGTTCGAATCAAGAAAGGAAAATTGAACTGATCTAAACGTGCACTTGCACGTGTCCCAGTAAACGATAACCAACAGTAACATTACATTAGTGTTATAATTGCTCACAATATAAGCACATTACAACATGTCATATGTAAATAGTCTTAAAGGCTTGGAAAAAAACTGGATTTTTTCGCGAATTTTTTTAGTTTCTTTCCAAAAATAAAAAAAAACGGTTTTTTAAAACTATATATAACAGTTACATCGTTGAGTGGGAAATTATAACATTCATATAATGTTATTGTTAGGTGATGTTTATTAGGAGTATGAGTATCCCTGAAAAGGTTAATCATTACAATATCCATATTTTGGATATGACGTGTATACGGTGAATGTGTATGTACCGAAGAGATTCTACACGGCACTATTTTGCTTCTCTTGACGTCACCAGTATTTTCCATTATTCCGTTCTAAGAGTCAATTATTTATCGATGATAATATCTATTGATCATCGGCGCAATTGTTGTAATTGCGATCGTAGTCGAAAGACTCGTTATTGTGACACATTTACCAAATTGTAAATTCGGGATATGTAGGAGTATTACATATTATTTTTAGAAATTTTACCATATTTACATCGCGTATATGCGAAATGTATTCTGCGTGTAGTGGAGAAGTGAAGACGTGAAGGACCGGAGGATTGTAAGAATCGCGGAATCCTGATTTGAACCCCTAAGTCGATTAACTGAACAATATTGGGACCTGAATAGTGCCTTTTACTAATCGGAATGTCAAGTGTCGGATGATAGAACCTGCCTTTGTAGTACCTAGAAATCATTAATCTTAAGATTAATTAAGCTCCTTTGAGAAAAAAAAATCATCCTCCACTTGTCGACTTCCGTTTTAATTGCATTCGTAATTGTGTTCAGCAATGAATTACATATATTTACATATATATACATATATATATATTTTTTTTTTAATATAAATAATATAGATAGGTTATTTGTGGCAGTGGATTTAAAAATTGCTGCCAGTAAGTTAGCAATGTTATTTGTTAGACTCCTTTCTGCGTGCATCGATTCCGATAATTAGACAAAGTCGAGAATCTATAATTTTGTTGTACGGCCAACTCCATTGCTCTATTCCTATAGTTTTGTAGACTCCCTACACGAGAATCTCACGACTGAACAGATGAAATCGTGGAGATATGCATTTCTACATGGTCTCAAGTAATTATATACAATGTTTAAAGTGAATAGGGTAAGAAATAATGGAAGCATAGGAGCGTATATAGTCCCGAAGATGACAATATTAATTCCTCGTGCATAACTATTACATACAAGTTGTCTTTATTATATAGGTAAGCCGTCGTGTTTATATCCGTAAAACATAAAAGTAACGTGACGGCATATGGTATAAAATAACAGAGCAATTCTCGCTGCAGATATCGTATTTATTCGCGTAACGCGTTCATCGAGAAATTTAATTCTTAAGTCTAAAGGATAATATTTTTCTGCCCGACGTGTTACTCGCTAACGCTTGCTCCTAATATAATATCACACGATATTCACACTGCGAAAATAATACTCTATTACTGTTTGCGAGTGCGCGTTACCCGCGAATGATATAGATTTTTTTACTCCATTTATTTACACTTTTGATTAGCGCTCCAGCGTCGTAGACGTAGAGAATAACAGCCTTGTTTAGTTAGCTGTGATTAACGACGCATGCGTATGCTTATTCCTAAGAAATTTTGTACCGCCTTATATCATATACGTCAATAAAAATGCTATATATTGACTATGATGGCCAGAAAGGAAAAGAAAGTCAGCCTTTTCAAGTTCCAAATAATCCAGAAAATATGGAATGAAAATTGACTATGGTCAATTATTCTTCTAAAAAATTTTACTATTTCTTCACTATAACTCCAATTGCTCGAGGACAAAGGCGTGTTCGTTCCAGTATAGTTATAGTTCAATGGTCTGAATGCAGCCATTGTTCGAAGAAAACGGAAGAAGAGATGAAGGATGCGGTGTAATCTTTGAGAAAAATGGAGGAACAGATGAACGATGCAACTTTTGAAAAATCTCCCCGGGGGCAACCGCAGGAAACGGCCAGGAAAGAGATAATTATCGAGGTAGACGAGGACAATCCATGTCTGCGAAAAGATGAATCGCAAGAGCAGATATCATTATTAGGCAGACATTTCGATTATGATCCAAGGTATGCCGATGATAAATTCAAGGTGTATCGCGCTTAAATCAACCTCGTGTCTCATCGTAGATTTCAGCAGCAAAATCAAACGCAGAGATGCTTCGTCATGTACACTGACTTTTATCGCTGCGAGCATATCTTGGGCGAAGGTACCGAGGCGTGCGCGTGGTTTAAAGATGTCTTCAAGTCTATATGCCCAAACGCTTGGATAGAAAATTGGGATGAACTTAGACTCTCAGGTCGATTAGCCTGGCACAAATATAAGACTCAGGGTGCTTTCCCTGGTTACAAATATGGCATATGAAGATCATTTTTGGATGATTTCATATAACGAATGATCAAAATTACCTTTAAGAATTATTTATTATATATATTATATATATTATACTCTAACTACAAGAATTATGATTGGGTAATACATAATAGCAATAAATGATGAAATCTACATATATATATAAACATCTCATGATCATAAAACGCAAGGATTTAAAAAATATGAGTTACAAACAGATTTTTAGTGCAAAAATTTTAGAACATTAAAGCTCTCAGTCTATCGCTGCAACAACCCTTTATTGATGACGTTAAAAGCGAGAAAATGCATGCCAAAAATTCTTGCATTATATATTCCATTAAAAAGATATACTCACAAAATTACATTTATTATGACATTCACAATTGTGATCGAACGTATGGAAATATAACAATGCGAATATTCAAAAATTGCAAATATTCAATTTTATTGTACAGAATAGATTTATAAAATTATATTCAATAAAAAATTAAAACGAGCAGTAAAGTAATATAAATAAAATAATATGAACAAATTACCCCCCCCCCCCCTGTTGTTTTTCATATCCATTTTGTGTAAAACTAAGTGTGTCGCAAACATTTGCCGTTCTAATGCCCGTTTCTTACCATCGTGGTTTAAATTCTAATCAACGATGAACTAAACGAAATTGACGAAATTAATTGAATTGAGTACTCAATGCAATTAGTCAATTCCGTTGAGTTAATCGATTAGATTTAAACCATGATAGTAGAAACAAGCATAAAAAGTGAATTGTGGTTCATTTAGGTTTGGGAAAAACCTACCATCCTAGCCGTATCAGCAGTGGTATGAGGTAGGAGGGTAGTTTCGCAATAAAATCAACACAACCCAGATATAAGAAAAAAATATTCAATTTTATTGTACAGAAATAAGATATTTACTAGTATGAGGTAACTTATTTATATAGAAGTATGAAGAAAGACTAACTGACGCAAATGTTCATCGTTGAACCATTCACAGCTGCTGGACCATCTCTTCTTTCGAGTCTTAATTCTTCCTTGCATTAAGTGTGACCAACTCTCTTCTTCTGTCTTTTACAGCAACCACACTGATTGCTTGCAGTTTGTGACACTTTTTTTCCTCTCGTAATCGTAAAAATAGACACTCGTAGGGATTTGTTTTGAACTTTCGATAGAATTGCGGGTGCCTCTCTCGCGTCTTCTTCATCAACGCGACGTAAAAAAGAAAAAGAAAACTAATCCCGTCTCACGCGTAAAACTTCTTTACAAAATAAAACGGTGATCTCGGGATTTTGTTGCACAAAAGCGTCTGCCATGGATGTAGACAACTTACCATCTTCGAGTGTTGCTTCTGCCAGCACAACACGTAATTCCGTCGTCGTCGTATATCGATGTATATATCAACTTCTACGATGATAAAACGATGATCACCTGCAAGTTCGAAAGCAAAGGCATTTGCTTGAAGGGGATTGTTATAACTAACTGTTATTATGTGTGTAAATTATTAAAGTGACGGAGACATTTACGTTGAAACGAAATTTTACGCGATCACTATCGACAACACACACACACACACGCGCGCGCGCACACGCACGCACGCACGCACGCAACACACACACACACACACACACACGTGTGTGTGTGTGTGTGTGTGTGTGTGTGTGTGTGTGTGTGTGTGTGTGTGTGTGTGTGTGTGTGTGTGTGTGTGTGTGTGTGTGTGTGTGTGTGTGTGTGTGTGTGTGTGTGTGTGTGTGTGTGTGTGTGTGTGTGTGTGTGTGTGTGTGTGTGTGTGTGTGTGTGTGTGTGTGTGTGTGTGTGTGTGTGTGTGTGTGTGTGTGTGTGTGTGTGTGTGTGTGTGTGTGTGTGTGTGTGTGTGTGTGTGTGTGTGTGTGTGTGTGTGTGTGTGTGTGTGTGTGTGTGTGTGTGTGTGTGTGTGTGTGTGTGTGTGTGTGTGTGTGTGTGTGTGTGTGTGTGTGTGTGTGTGTGTGTGTGTGTGTGTGTGTGTGTGTGTGTGTGTGTGTGTGTGTGTGTGTGTGTGTGTGTGTGTGTGTGTGTGTGTGTGTGTGTGTGTGTGTGTGTGTGTGTGTGTGTGTGTGTGTGTGTGTGTGTGTGTGTGTGTGTGTGTGTGTGTGTGTGTGTGTGTGTGTGTGTGTGTGTGTGTGTGTGTGTGTGTGTGTGTGTGTGTGTGTGTGTGTGTGTGTGTGTGTGTGTGTGTGTGTGTGTGTGTGTGTGTGTGTGTGTGTGTGTGTGTGTGTGTGTGTGTGTGTGTGTGTGTGTGTGTGTGTCATTTGGAAACTCTAATCTATATTTTTCAATGAGTTTATCTTCCCGAGTGCGCGCACGACCCACATTGACACATTTTACGTTGAAAAATCAGAACCACCTTACGTATATCATGTTGAATATGTTCAGTAAGTGTTATTTCATGTAGAACTCGTTGATTGATGAACAAACTGACAATCTCCGTCGTTGCAGATACCCATCAAATCGTACGGGCACAGGATTCCGTTGGGGTTCGCGTTCCTGATTAAAAGAGCAGAGAGAAACCACAAAAAATCTCAAAATTTTTAGCTAATCCACGGACAACGCAGGAACGAGTACTGCGACAGGCTATATTTTAAAGATAAGGCGACCCACCTTGGTGTCTTCAAGTGTGTCAATATCGATACATAAGGTTTAATCGTTGTCGTTGTCGTCGTCACCGTCATCGTCGTCGTTGGCGTTGTATTCATCATCGTCGAAGAGGTCGTTTTCGGTATCATCGTCGCTGTCGTAATCGTCATCGTCGTCATCGTTGTCGTCGTGGTCGCTGTTGTCATCGGCGGCTGTGCTGGCGACTGCGTTTTCTTCTTATCTCGTTGCTCATTATCCAGACATAACGAACAATCTACTGTCGATAGTCCTAGCACTGGAGATATGGCAGCCACAGGGATATCTACCTTACGGTTTCTTTGCGTACATTCGTTATTTCGTTCTACTGATACAGGGGTACTACTTAGCTTTGGTTCGCAGAGCAATTGGTCTTGGTCGGGCGAGTCTTCTTCGTCATTACAAGACTCCGACACAATCGCCGAGGTTTGATTCTTTCTCGCTGGCGTCACTTCGTTCGGAAGCGTATCTATCGTCGACGAGCTTTCAATATCATTACATTGCTCCAAACCAGGGGAAGTGTCGTTTTGCGAGTTGTCTACCACACTATTGGCCGTAGCCATGTTGTTTTTCGGCAGTATTTGCAACGACAGATCTCCCACGGTTTCTTCTAATGTAACTTTAGACGGTTTTGAGAACGACGAAGTAGGAAGTATGGAGTTTTCGGAAGCATCGTTGGATGACAGTTTCTTCTTGGAGAGCTGGCGAGTGTGATTGGCGACTTCCTTGAGTTTCTCGCTCAATAATTGATCTCCCGCCTCTGGTAGCCTGAAAGTACAATCTTTATGATCGATGAAAACAGCGTACAATTTCTCGATTATTCCTCCGACATTTCTCTAGATGATTTCTACATTATCGTATAATTATAACAGTAAATAATACAATAATATACGTATATATTATTATAATTATAACTAATATAATTATCATTAGTAATATAAAATATTATTTTTAAATGTTTTCTCGATTATTTCTCTATATTCATATATATATATATATATATATATATATATTCATATATATACGTATATATATATGAATAGAAGGGGAATAATGTAGAAATTATACAGGAGAAATAATCGAGAAAACATTTAAAAATAATATTTTATATTACTATATATATACAGGGTGTCCCAGACCACCCGTCTCACCCGATTTTTTCGTAAACGCGACATTTTAAAGAAAAATGTTTCAGACAAAAGTTTTGTGACTT